AACTAAAAACTCGAGAGAAGCCCTAGAAACCTAGAAGGGAAAAACTGAAGTACCAAGATTTTAACTTGTGTTATATATCTTTACTTCATAGCAAACCTTTCATTTCGACTTTTTATTATTTATATGTAATATCCAAAGCTGATCTAACTAATTGGTACTACATGAAATGAGAGTACATTTTACATGAATTTGTTCCTATAGACATTAACAATTCATGAAGTTCCATCTTCAATACTATAATCCGACAATCATGTATATACGTATAGTTTATGTCATCATTATGATTTGGTGTACAGTAGGGAAAACTAATAATAGGCAAACGTGATATTACCATGCATGCATGACAAAACATTCGGAAGCCTCCATTGAAAACCCCGAGCAATCTTTTAGTTCCATGACGAGCCAAAAAAAAAAGAATAGAAAACATCGTGAGCAAGGGCTATAAAAGACTTACCCGGGCTACAAATCTTCCAGTTGGACTCGGAGTCACTCATGGGGCTTCCCCCTATGTTTGACGAGCTACCGTTGCTATTTGGGCTCAAAACCGGGCTCGTTGAGAACTGCCTGTTGACCGCAAAGTACAGGTCAAGGGCCGGGATTGTAGTGCAGAGCCGCTGCCCATTTTCCTCGTTGAAACCGAACCCCAGCTCTATACACCCTTTCAGTTCACTCAAGTCCTCGTCCGTGAGATCGTGATCCGTCATCATTTCCCCCACATTATTATTATTATTATTATTGTTATTATTATTATTATTATTATTATTAATGTTGCTCCTTCGGTGCTCCTGAGAGAGGAACTGGCGGCGGCGGCGCTCCCAGGCCATGTCGCGCGGGATTTCGCGTAGTGACATCTGTTTCGAGAGCTTCTTGCGGGCCCCACAGGCGTTGGGATTATTATTATTCCGCCAGAAGGGCGGCGCATGCTCGAGCCGCTGCAAATCCTCGTCGGTTAATGATGATGACGAGGACAACGGAGGAGAGGACGATGATGATGACGAGGATGATGATGTAAGCGGTGGCGGCTTTCGTGCCCGTGAGATTATATTTATGGCTTTCGTCCCGGGCAGGGACTCTCCCATGTTCTTCGCCACTTTCATCATGGGTTATATTATATGCTTATATAGCTAACTTTTTGCTGCTTATTATTACTATTTTGTGGATTGATGCAGAAATGGAAAGGGAAAAATATATGGAAAAATAAAATGTTATAGCTAACTTTTTGCTGCTTATTATTATTACTATCTGTGGATTGATGCAGAAATGGAAAGGGAAAAACATATGCAAAAATATACAAACCACGGCGGGGAGGGTGGTGGGGACCGCCTCTCGGGCCGCCGCGGAAGGGTGGTGCCGCCTTTTTCGCGCGCAAGATCAAACGAGGTGTGGTTTTTTGTGTTTTTATTTTTATTGATGAGATTTAATGTGGCAAAATGGGAGCCAGTAAGTTTTGATGGCTCTTTTTATTTTGGTATGGTAATTTTAGTTGAATGGTGTGTGGAGGGACGTCCTTTAGTTTTGGGGCTTCTCACGTTGCTAACTGTTTTTTGTTTGTGTTTTGTTTTCTTTTCCTTTTCGTTTGTTCGAGTGTTGACTAGTGTTTGTTTTGTTTTGTAAATTTGTTTTGTTTGGTTTTCTTTTCCTTTTCTTTGTTGGACAGTTGACTAGTGTTGGACTTGATAATGATTGGATTGGAAGGAGCACCAAATTTTCATTTCCTTCCCATTGCCACAGGTAGTGTTGTTATACTAAATGAGTCTGGCTCGAACTGGGCTCGAACTCGGCTCGAGTTTGGCTGGAGCTCGGCTAGTTTAGATTCGAGTTTGGCTCAAGCTCAATTTTTGGCTCGTTTATTTTACGAGCCGAACTCGGCTCGACTTGTGAAGGGCTCAAACTCAGCTCGTTTATAGACCTAGCTCCAACAAAGCTCTACAATCTTGCGCCATGGATTTGGAGATGTCGCCACAATTTATTTATTTTTTATTATATTTTTATGTTTTGGTGGGTAATTTAAGGTGTATATGATTTTTTTATTCTATCAAATAATTTTAGCTCTACAAATATACCCAAGTATCTATTTTTGTTGTATATAATTATGTATACTATAATTATTTATTTTTATTTATTTATATTAAATCTACATATAATATGTATCTATATATTTATTATCTATGTTCTATTGATTAATATTTTGGAAAATAAATGGTAAAAACTTTAGTAAATAAACAAAAATATTATGGAATATATTATATTCTCGATAATTATTTAATTTTAATTTATTTAAAATATACTTTAATATAACATGTGAATATAAGTAAAAAATTAAAGTAAAATGTAGTGCGAACGGTTATATAGACGAAATTTGATATTTGCATTACTCTACAGTCTAGTCTATAAACTCATCTCTATTGGGTTGGAAATTTTAACCGTCTGATCATATTTTTTGCTTAGCTTCAATTGCAGGGGGATTATTGCGATATTGATTTGCAATCCTGGCCCGATACATGTATTTTTCGTTTGTGTGAAATTTAAATAAGGGTTTTTATAATATCTAGGGTAAAAAAATTTTTCTCATCCGAACTATAACGATTTTTATGCATCACCATATTTTTTTTATAAACCACCACCCAAATTTTATGGGTTTGTCAAAGTGTCCCTTAAACTGGATATAAAAGTAGTTTTGACTTAACAAAAATTGGTTTTTAAGGAAATAAAAAAAAAAAAAAATGAAAAAAAAGAAAGAAAATAACATCCTCGCCGTTACCTGTACCCATTTCTCAGCCATGGGCCACCTTGTATCCATGGTGGCGCTATGAAAACTCATCCTCCACCATCACCCATCTGCTACCGTCACCATCCTCACCGTCCCTCTTTTTTCCTTCAACATTGGCTCCCCCGTGCTTACATCCACCGCCGTCCCCTCCATCACCTTCCGACGACGCCCTCCAATAAAAATGGACACGCTCCTCAATTTCTCAGGCCTGCTGCCATTCTCACCTTTCGACGTGGTGGCGCCGTTGCTCGATCGGGAATCCACTGACTACAAGATCTTTCTAGCATATTCTCATGACGTATTAAGTTCAGACGGAATAATTGTGAACACATTCGAGAGTTTGAGGTGAGATGTGGGCCCCACATGTGGTGATGCTGGAGGCGGTGCTGGCGGGCGTGCCGATGTTGTTGTGGCTGCTATACCAGGCGGTGTTGGTGGAGGATGTCCCGCTGAGAATGGAGATGGCGGAGGATAGGTTAATTTGTGGCGGTGGAGGAGGTGGAGCGGCGGTTGAGGGAGCTGATGGTAGAGGCGGAGAAGGTGAGGAGGGTGGTGGAGCAGAGCTTGGAGGTGGCGGCAGCCATGGCGGAAGGAGGTTCCTCTATTGTTGAGCACGGAAAATCCGGTGACGTTAGCGAAGGTGAACCCGAGGGTGCCTCCAGCAAGCAGCAGCTCACCAAGTCGACCGAGGAAGGCGGTGATGATGGTGATCTCGCGGAGCCCATTGCATGCTGTTGTATTCTTTCTTAAATTTTGACAAACCCTTATAGTTCATATGGTGGTTTGTAAAAAAAAATAGTTTATATGATGATACGCTAAAATCGTGATAGTTCAGATGGGAAAAAATTTTTACACTAAAAGAGCAAGAGTGAAATGTAAAATATAGCAGACATTTTCATATGCTTAAACTAAAAGATAACATGAACATCTTTCATATGTATTAAAATAAGCCAGTGCGTAATTCAGCGTGTTCGAGAAATGGTATAAAGAAGGATGTTGGTCTGAATTTATTGAATTTTTTATAGCTAGATATTTAATTTATGTAAAAATATTACGTTAATAATACACATATATTTGTGTTATACTTATTTACTCAAAAGTTAATTATTTAGTGAAAATTAAATGTTAGACGTGGGAATTTGAAAAGTCTAATAAAAATATCATTTATAAGCCATGAACACGAATCTTGCATGTGGCATGAACCTTGTTTGGCTGATGGCATGGCTCAAACAAGACTTGGATTGTATACTATTACATTTCATACTTCTTATGTTTACTTTTCTTTCCCCTTAATTTCTAGAGTGTTATTTCTATTATGAACTGTGTTCTTTATCTTATTATGAGTTTCATCTTGGTCTATCACGGTAAATTAATCAACAATCCTAATAAGTTAATTTACCAGTACTAATTTGAAAAGCTCTATCACTTACTTTCATCAACTCCTCGTAATCACCTAAACCAAACCAACAGGACCCATTTTTTTCTGATACGAATATTAAGTATTTACCAAAATATATTGCAACCTGTGCATCTGAGTTATAGGCCAATTTAGTACACACACAATCTCCGTTTTTCATATAGAAACAGTCAAACGGACAAATGCTCAAAGGCCATTTTGCAATACAGAAGCATAACTGTGAAGGCCTTAGAAACATTTTCTTGTAATTGTTTGAATAGCATTACACCAACAACAACAAAGCCTTTAGTCCCAAGCAAATCGGGGTAGGCTAGAGATGAAACTATCGGTAGGTAGGAGAAACACAAAAAAGGCTTGAAAAAAAAAAAGAAAAAGAAAAAAGAAAAAAAAGATTAAGAGCTCATTTTACGAATGTTTCAAGGTAATTAAGAGCTCATAAAAATACATTTATCCTTATTCAAGTCTAATAAAAAAATCTTATTCTACTAATAAGAGCATGTAGCGAATTTCTATACCATTGTAAAGCGAATTTATATATATCAGTTTAAACCTCCACGCATACCCCAATAGCATAGTTCTTTTCAAAGACTCGATCTTGCACATAAAACCTCAAAAGATCAATGTAATTTAAGCATTGAATTACCAAAACAATTTAAAAACAAAAAAAAATCTCAATTCCCTTCAAAACTGAATCCAACTCACAACCCACCCACAATTCAGATCGACTAAATCCGTTACACCAAAATTTCCGATCAGCTCAAAGGCCAAAGCAGATCAACACCAGAATCCGATACAAAGAAGAACAAAAGACCCACTCAAAGAAAAGTATAAAACTACACACACGATAACGAACCAAACGATACTCACTGAAAGGATCCAACGCCGGCTAAGATCTCAAACCATTCCCATTAATCCTGAAGAATTCGCCCAAGGCCAGGACGCCAAACTCCAGATCTCTCCGCAGCCTTCTCCTCCGCCGGATGGTGACCCGGCGCTGTATGTACGGCACGCCGACGGCCGAGCCGGCGTCCACCTGGTGGATCGCTTTCACCAGCAGATCGAGCCCGCGGCACCGATGCGCGGACGATCCTCCGGCCGATGTAAACGGCCGCGCGGGGGAAGAATCGGACGAGCTCAGGGAGGAGGACAGAGAATGAGCCCCCGTGATTGATGATGAGTGATGGGATGAGGAAGAAGATGAAGAGATGGAGCAGTGATTTGAATCGGAAAAGGATTTTCTTCCACGGATCCTCATGTGGGAAGACGATGGATAAGCAAAATGAAATGGGATATGGAGATTTGGGAAATTGTGAGTTTCGAGAAAATTCTGCACACCTTTCCCAGTTTTCTTTAGTCAGCCATGGTTTTGTGTATATAAATAGAGGTTTGTTGGGAGTGTACGCGCTTGTGAGTGGGGACGTTCGGCTTTGTATTGGCACAGACATTTTCCAATCGATGTTTGCCTCAAAATCTTTTCACGCATATCACAATTTTGCTCGTAACATAAAAATCAGGTAGCAAAAATATATAATTATTATATTCATAAAATATCAAAAATCTATTTATCTTACGTTTTAGAGTGTAAAATAATATGATTGTCTATATCTAACAACAGTAACACAAATTTTCATCCATTTATAAATATTTATTAACAGTCGTAATTAGTTATTACTACTACGTATTCAAACTCAATTTTCCAGACTATCCACTGTGTATGTAATTTCAGTAAGTAATACTATGTCTTCTTTGTTTCTTTTTATATTTTTTTTATATATTAATCACTATATGTTTCTTTATTGTATTTCAAAGTTAATATTTTTTATATTTTTTTTATCTATCCTTATATAATATGCCAATTAATTAGCTCTTAACAATTTTTAATTCCCGTTTGTATTGCATATTATATGTAAAATAAATAAAAATATGTATATCTATTAAATAATCTACCATTTTATCTATTAATTTTAATGGAAAAATAGTAAGGATATGTTTGGTAAAACTAGCTGATAAGCTAGCTGATAGCTGATAAGCTATCTTATAGCTTATTTGTAATTTTTTTAACTTATAGCTTATAATTTATGACTTATAGCTGAAAAGCTAGCTTATATGATAAAAGTGTTTGATAAAATTAGCTGATAAGCTAGTTAGAATAAAAAAATCAACTAGCTTATTTGAAAAGCTATCTAAAGTAGCTTATGAGATAAGCTCGATCGAGCTTTTTAAAAAAACTCGTCCTACCAAACGAGGCTTATTTGATATAAGCTAACCAAATAAGCTATAAGCTAGCTTATTTGGCTTACCAAACACAGTCTAAGTCGTTATGAAGTTTCAAATTTACCTAATAAAATAATATATTCATTTAAAATCTAATATCATAAAGTTAGGAGAACTTCTATCACGCTCGTCATAGTGCGCTTGCTATGGTGCATACATCAAACATAAACTAAAAACACACCAAAAATTTTAACGCAACTATTAGTCAGTCTATTACAGTATTACTATGAAGTTTTCATTCTTGAAAGATCAAAAGAGGGTTGTTAGAGGACTCCAGCCTTGAGCAAATCCAGGCTAAGTATTTTTGTTGACGATTAGTTCGACAAAACACTAGGTAATAACGTTTTGATTGGACTAAGGAATTACTAACACAATTTAAGTATTGTTTACAGTGAACTTAGATTGGGCAAAAGGAAACATAAAAAAAAAATAAAGAGAAATAAAAACTACATGCATATGAACAATATCCATCACCTTCAACATACTGTACTTAGTAAAGTCTTATACTTAGCCTCGTACCAAGATGCCAAGGAGAGTTTCTAAAAGCACCCTAACTTCCAATATTAGTAAACTTTTGGGTTGCTGAGTAAAATTCGAAATAATGACCTTTTGATGTAAAAACTCCGGGACCAACTCAAAATGGGACTCAGAAAATTCCAGTATTTATAGTTCAATACTACGGTACTTTCCTTGTATATACAAAAGAGAAGGAAAAGTCTGAGCCTTTAACTTTCTCCAGGATCAAGTAATCGCGAACAAAAAACAAAAAAAAAAAGTGCCAAGGAAAGAACATACCTATCACACGGTGAAAAGAGACCCACAAAAGCACCGTTTTTTCCCCTCCGCTTGTCTCGTTTATTTGCCTTTTATCCCCATTTCCTTCGGATACAAGATATAATCTAACCTGAGACAGCTTATGAGTTATGAACAAGAAGCTTGCAAAATAGCTCCGAAAAATGTGTAACGGGATGCAGATTTAAGCGGTAACTTGCAAATCGTGAGTCTTGTTCGTCACTTTTTCACACTTCAATCCAGGAAACTGTCCAATATCATGTCCTTCGAGTGGTTGAAATTCATTGAGCAGGCCTATAGCAAAATCATCTGGCCTAGTTCCACCACTTTGGACATAATCTGCAATCTGCACAAAAAAACTCGATTTGAGTTGGATGTAAAATATAATAGAAAGATTATGAAGGTTAAAGGGAATGATTTGAATATCCGCCCAAAACGAGTTTTTTTGGTTAATCATGGTTAATTTTGAAAAAAGTGGTATGATTAGTTGTTAGTGGAATTTTTGAGTTTATATTAAAATAATATAAACAAAGTTGATTTGATTTAAAAGTAGGGGAGAGATGATGTGAAGATATGGTCAGTTAAAATTATGTGAGTGGGATGAGATGTGTAAGAATTGTTGATTGATATTATTTAATTATATTAATAATATTGAAGATAGTGAGGTTGATAATATTTGAGTTAAATTTTGGGTATGGATTGAATTATTTTATATACAAATTATTTCAATATAAACTCGGTAATACAATTTACTCATTGTATTGAAGTAATATTGATTTAGACCAACCAAAGCATTTGTTTGGTAATGAGAAACAAAAACATCATGATATAACTTGTACAGACAAAAACAATTTACTATCTGTCTACGACTAACCTTAATATTGAAAATACAAATATGAAGCCCCATGACAAAAGACAATTTGAAGGGGAAAAAAACTTACATGATTAGCGAGAGCCATGCCACTTAAGGCTGCAGCTTCTAAACTTGATCCCGATAGCCAATCACCACATATGCCAGCTCGTCCATGAGGATCGAAAATACAGGGAATCTTAGGTGAATTTGTGGGAAGAGCTGCACCCCTGTAAGTTATATAACAATTGCTTCAAATCATAGAAATTGGCTTAATTACTTAGAGCTCATGTGACAAAAATACAGCAGAGAATTCTCTAACAAGATCGCCAAATGTAGATTAAATAACCAAATATATATCTTCTATCAATATGAATATGCTTATAGGAAAGGAATTAAGTATCTTCACAATTGGAATGTATGTTTACAAGACAAAATTATGATTTTACCACGTACCATAATTGTACTCGACTGTAGAAAGGCTTTTCAAGTGAGTTCTTTTGTAGTCCCAGGGCAATCTCAACGCCTTCGAGCATGGATTCCTTCACCTTTTCTGCTGTACTAGAAGGAATACTTTCCTGAAAAAAGGGAAAAGAAAGAAAGAAAAAAAAAAAAGTATCTATTCAGGTACTTCATGCGGACTTCATATTCCATTTTATGATTCTTTTCCGCTTTCTACACAAATAGTCCAAAGCGGGTTACACCGACTCTTGGATAGGATTTAAGTAATATTTCGGCAACTTTATTTTTCCTTTTTTTTTTCCATTCTGAGGAAGCACATGTCTGACGTAAAGTCTCTGAGCATTGCGTGTTCATCAACATTTTTAAACCAACCTGGGGAACTTTATTATTCTTTCCAAAACCTGCTGTGCTGAGGAAGGTCCAACAATGGGGTCCACCGGTTTGCGGACCAGAGAGTTTGGCAGTGTTATTCGCCATCCATGAGAGAGAATCGATTCCTTCAACAAAGGCTCCTTCCAAGGGGACAGGAAGGGGATCATTGAATGCTGCCAAAAGAGCCCATATAGAACTCAAATCGAGCCTCTGTATTAAGTTAGATGTCGAACGTTAATACAGAGAGATAAAATGAAGAAGCCATTTAGGAGCAGTTGAGCCGGGAGGTTACTGAACTCAAAGTACCTTCATTTGTCTGGCAATTAGGGGTAACCCGGATGAAGCAAGTAGTCGATTTGCACATTTTCCTGGTGTGACATACAGTAAGAAGGTGCTCATATTATAGATATTAGTATTCTATCCCGTGCAACACACGGAATGTGTTATGTTGGATTATTCATACCCAGTAAACTTTCTGCAATTTGAATCATTTCGAAATCTGAGGAAATGAAATGACAGAAAAAGTTCGTACAGACACAAATTCAAATTTTCATTATATCATATTTTCTATCTACCATGTTTCTTCTTCTTTTTCTTCCTTTTTTTAATGTGGG